AAAATTATGGCATTTTTAGTGATGTGGATGGACTTTGAGAGTTTCATACAGAGTGAAATAGGTCAGAAAGAGAAAAATGAATATCATATATTAACACATATATGTGGAATCTAGAAAAATGATAGAGATGATCTTACTTACAAAGCAGAAATAGAGACACAGATGTAGAGAACAACAGGGAAGAGAGGTGGGATAAATTGGGAGATTAGGATTTATACATATACACTATTTATACTATGTCAGAAATGGATAACTAACGAGAATGTACTGTGTGGCACAAAGAACTCTTGTTTAATGCACTTTAGTGACCAGAATGGAGAAGGCAATGGCAACCCACTCCAGTACTCTTGCCTGGAAAATCCCATGGACAGAGGAGCCTGGTAGGCTGCAGTCCATGGGGTCGCTAAGAGTCAGACACTACTGAACGACTTCACTTTCACTTTTCACATTCAAGCATTGGAGAAAGAAATGGCAACCCACTCCAGTGTTCTTGCCTGGAGAATCCCAGGGACGGGGGAGCCTGGTGGGCTGCCATCTGTGGGGTCACACAGAGTTGGACATGACTGAAGTGACTTAGCAGCAGCAGCAGCAGTGACCAGAATGGTAAGGAAGTCCCAAAAGTGAGGGGTCATATGTATATGTATGGCTGTTTCATTGTGCTGTACATTATAAATTATTATAATACAGCAATGTAAAGCAGCTATTTTTTGTTTGTTTTGTTCAGTTGCTCAGTCATGTCTCAGTGACCCCATGGACTATAGCACGCCAGCCTTCCCTGTCCTGCACCATCTCCCGGAGCTTACCCAAACTCATGTCCATTGAATTGGTGATGCCATCTGACCATCTTATCCTCTGTCATCCCCCTTCTCCTCCTGCCTTCAGTCTTTCCCAGGATCAGGGTCTTTTCTGATGAGTCATTTCTTTGCATCAGGTGGCCAAAGTATTGGAGCTTTGGCTTCAGCATCAATCTTTCCAATGAATATTCAGGGTTGATTTCCTTTAGGATTGACTGGTTTGATCTCCTTGCAGTCCAAAGGGCTCTCAAGAGTCTTCTCTAGCACCACAGTTCAAAAGCATCAATTCTTCCACACTCAGTCTTCCTAATGGTCTAACTCTCACATCTATACATGACTACCGGAAAAACCATAGCTTTGACTAGACGGATCTTTGTTGGCAAAGTTAAACCACCTCCCACAGCATGAATGCTACAAATAAAAGAATAGTTGTTTAGTGAGCAGATTTTGGTCTCATTACCTTCTGCTTAGTTGGGGAGATCTGGGATAGGGCTTAAAGGGGTTTTGAAGTAGGAATGAAGTAGGAACAGAATTTGGATTTTGTTTAAAGGGTTAAACTGAGCCCTCAACTTTGGTAGATACCTTTGATCTGTTGTGTCACTGGTTGCCTCCACTGAGGTCACTGTGATTCATAAACAAAATAACCTCAGTCCAGAAGACCTCATCTGTTCTGTCAGTTGCCCTCTTCCATTGAAGGAATGCCAAGAGGGACACGTGGAAATGAGCCAGCCACCTGGGACAAGGCTCAGGCCTTGCTCTGCCTTGGACTTGCTGAATGAGCTTGGAGAAACTATCTAAGGTCTTTGGAGTATAGTTTTTCAGTGAAATTGATGAATTAAACTAAATTAGCTCTAAAGCCCCCTTCTAGCTTTACAAGTCAATAGGCATAGCAATATCTTGTGTTCACTATTCTCAAGGAGATGATTATCTAAGTGTTCTGAAGCTGGTAAGTACTCTGTGACTTACTCATGATTTATTTCTAGAGAAAATGTATCCCGGGGGGCTGAAATAGAGAAAGATTGACTGAAACCCATTGATTCAATGCCTAAATGAAGCATTTTAGACATGTCTCTGAGACTGGGAGAATTTATTGATATGGATTAAGATCAACTGTCTTTCAAAGCAGCAGGTGCTGAAGCTGCATGCATGCCCTGACAAATGGCCTCACTCGCACTCCTGAGCCCTTCAGTTATGCCATTGAGTAGCCTCCAGGGAAATGCCCCCATTCCTCACCAGCATAACATGTCTCTCCCTACTTTCCATTAGCCCTAATGTCCAACAATCAATTGACTGACAGTTAAGTGTTTATCAAAAGGGACCTTAGAGGACTTAACCTCTCACCTCCTCAAAATCATCAATAGCCCTCCAAAATAAGCCAAAGAAACATAATATCTGTAAAAGCATTGTCCTTGACAGATGCAGTTTCAGGACAACTTCCCCAGTTTCTTTCTAACTACACTGCCAACCCCAAAGCTTAACTGCCTTCTGGTCAGTTAAGCCATTCTGGGGCTTCTAAAGAGATTTAGTGCAGATCTACTCAGAGCCTGGGGATTGCACTGGTGGATTGGCCAGTTTCAACTACAGGACCCAACATCAAGTTCAGTGATTGGGGCAGCGAGTGTCTGCTGAGTCATGGAGCTGAGAGTTTGGGGACATCTTCTAAGCATCAATCATCAGATCCTTAAGGTCCAACTGGTGTTACAGGGAGACAGCCATGGCAAAGAGAAGCAGCAGTAAACATATCCAGTCTTGTTGAGGCTTATGGACTCATGAACATTTAATATCAGTTCAGATTGGAAAATGGGCTCCCTGAGGACAGGGATCTTGTCTGTTTCACTCACTAATCTGGCTTCAGCATCTAAAAGAACCTAACACCTTCAGTGTTAACTCATGGAACGTACTTAGCAGTGTAGTTTGAATGTCTGATCATGAGGCCACATTGTGCAGTGGTGCACAGCACAGATTTTGGGGCCAGACCATTTTGTCCCAAATTCTAGCTCCACTGCTCACTGATTGAGAATGTGAGCAAGTGAGTAAACCGTGTCTCAGTTTACCTATTTTAAATTGGGACTAATAATAATACACATCTTAAAGTTATGCAGGTTAAATGAATTGATGTTTATAACCAGTACCTGGCATGCACTGTAAATTTTTATTAAATAGCTAGATTAATCAGTTTACACTCTCCACTTCATTTTCCATCATTGACTTAAGTTTTGTTTTTGGAATTAAAGTTTGAGTGTATGAGAATACATGCTAACCAAACATGGGCCTGGGCCCAGATACACTTCTGCCTTAAGACCTCTGGCTGTACACCTTTCTATTTATGCAATGCTCTAAAGCATCTCTTTCCAATAATTCTGTTAAAATGCTATTTGACTTACCCTTCTTGACTGAGAGTTCCTTCAAAGCAGACAACATCCTATAGGGCATGATTTAGACGGGTGCTTAGTAGTTTTGGAATGAATGTGTGATGTACTCAGTGAATGGTTGTCTTGTGATTATTTTACTCTTGGAGAAGGAATTACAGACTTCTGCCTCATCTCTCAGATTTGTCTCTACCTGTGTGCGGTCCATCAGTGTCATATATACATCCATAGTTCTAGTTACCCCATCCTCCCCACCCAGCTGTTTTCTTTAGCCCAGTCTCTGAGCATCAACTCTCCTCAGCCTCAAGAAAACCTTTTACTCTCCCCCAATATCTGTTCTCTCTTCCTTTATCTTTTCCACATGGCTTGCAAGCTTTGACATTTACATTAGCAATCTTGCTTTTGCCCCTCTCTAAGTCAGGTCAAATCCTTTTGATAAACTAGAAGAATTCTAAAACTAAAAGTGATAAACTTACTTGCTCACATTACCAGTCAGTGAGCAGTTAAGCTAAAAGAATTAGTTGTAAACAAACCATTGTTATTTTCCTTGGCAACCTTTTGTTTTTCCCATTCCCACCCATAAACACCTCAAGCCCCTCCATTGTTCACTAGAGACACTTCTTTCCCAATGGGTTAGCACATCTCAGAGATAGTATTTTTTTATTTTGCTCTTGCTTTGGTTTACATTCAAAGTTCTGCTGATCAGAGCTGTGATTTTTTTGCCATTTCTATCTGCATCTTATGTAAAGAGTGAGGAAGCAAAATAGATCAGGTGGTTTACCACCCTATTATCTCATACCAGTCTCCATCTTTGAAGTATTTCTGATCTGCTTAACTGGATAGAAGTGCTATATAGGAAATATTTCAACCATAGTACAAGGCAATCTGTAAGATAAAACCATCTGATCTTAAACTTTTGGCTCACAAACTCTGAATTGCTCTAAAACTTGCTTATGTGGGATCACACTGTGCAAGTGTAGCTATGCATTTGGGTGTTCTTTTACTGGGTCATTCTGGAGTATTGCTATCCATGCTTCTCATATATTATAATCTCCATATGAATCAGGATCTTATCTTCTCCATCTGTGTATTTCCATGGTTCCCAGAATGGCTCTGCCTAGAGAGGACACTTGACAAGCCCCGCCACTGGGCAGATGGGTACTGCCTCCTGCAGTGACCCGGTTCTGGGCGTTCTCTCGGTGCAGAAGCATGTCAGGAACAACTGGAAGATTCCTAGTTGGCATTCCCTGTGGCTCCTCAGGCGCTTCTTGTGCCTCTGGGTAGCTTCACTAATGAAACTGACTTCCAGGGGCTAATTCTGAAGTCACAGATCCTGATTTTTCTTCTTATTCTAAGAGCCATTTTTCTTCTGTGTCTTCAAGAGCTCCACCCCTCCCGGGAGTAATAGCAGTAGATTGGTTATGCTAAACACCCCACCTCGGGGTTTGATTTTGAATTTTTCACAGCGCCTCAGTCATTTATATAGTCGAGATAGACTCATCTTGAAGCTTCACAGAGCCACTTAATTTTTTTTAAAATTCATAACTCTAGATAATTTGTACCTAAATTTCTAGTCTTCTCTTGGATTCCCAGGGAATACTCTGTCAAACAGAAAACTCAAATGCATGTCACTGTCTTTTCTTGCCTTTCCTCACCCCAAATGCTAATAATGTAGAGCTAAGTAGCACATATTGGAAGAGTGTTGATATTTTGTTTGCATATAAACTGTTTAACCACAAAGCTGATGTGAACAAGGCAGGTACACAAATAAAGATAGGAGAAATTCTAGGGATGTTCAGAGAATGTGACTCAGGCCATTCTTTTCTCATCCATGCAGTCTCTAGACCTGTGGCAAAGACATTATGTTTGGGACCTGCCCCTTCGGCCTCTCAGCTCTGCAATATCCCTTGCTCTACAGACTGTATAATGTCTTCCTGGTCGGCCTGGGGCCTGTGCGTCCATGAAAACTGCCGTGATCCTCAGGGGAGAAGAGGTGAGTGCCTTCTTTACATGTGCTCCATTTCCTTCCAGTGCACACAGGTTTATTCTGGTCACTGAAAAGCTCCTTAAGTTTGCTTAGGACAATATTTGTCTATGAAATGTAGATAGCTAGCTCTGACAAGCATTCAGTTATTAAGGAGACATCGTGGATACTTCTTTGGAGCACAGTATCCCACTTTAGTTGACCTTTTAATTAGGCTTATAACTAATAAAGTGATTATTATGCAAAAATGATGTAACTTAACTCTGCAAGACATTGGGTGCTGACCAAAACACCTAGAAGACATTTAGTTCACACCAAAATGTCCTTGATAGTTGCTCCTGTCCAAAACATCCATCAGCATACTTGGTCCATGCTGCCTAGGTTTGGTTGGGAATAAATTTCAAGGACCTTTTGCCTTGCACCAAATGTCTTATAGATATTTTGGACCAAAGCAGATATTTGCTAACTATAATGTAATGTTTTTAACATGTAATGTTTATACTGTAGAAATTAGACATGGTTTCTGTAATCACATCAAGAAGCAACTGTTTTGTATATATTTTTTGATTTTTAGATTTCCAAAGGCTGAATCACATGCTCAACTTGATGTTATGGTTCAAATTTTCATGAAGGGCACTTATTGTTGTTTCCTTTTTTGATGTTGTCCTCAAGCTTAAACAAAATCTTCAAACTTTGTGTCCTTCTTTAAATGTGTAGGTCTCAGCAATCTTGCTTTCTTTTGTTTGCTGTTATATACACATCTGCATCTTCAAACATTCATCTTTGGTGACATCTTTTATTGACCTTTCAGTTTGTATTGATATCATGCTCTCTTCAATGGCAGTGCTAGAAAGAAATAATACCTTTAGTAAGAGAAATGAGATCCAAGGGCATTCTACAAGTTTGGTTGTACTTAGCACTAGTGTGTTAAGCACTAATTCCTCCAGTTTTCCTATGCAAAGAAAGACTAATGTGGCCAAGTGCATGATGCTACAAGACTGGTGCCATCAGCTTAATTCTATGTCCATTTGAAAACCCACGTTTCAGCACTCCCCAAAGGGCTCACAGGCCCACATGGGCATATCTAGGAAAATGGGGAGATATTGATTAAAGGGTACAAACTTCCAGTTATAAGATAAGTACTATTTGAAGATCTAAAGTCCAGTATGGTTTACTGTAGTTAACAGCAGTATATTATGTACTTACATTCCTAAGTGAGTAAATCTTAAAAATACTCACCACACATAAACACGTAAGGAAGTTTTTATTTTAATAGATAATAAAATAGAAAGAAGTATCTTCCTTACTAATTTCAGGAAGAGTCCTGGAGTTGAATCTCATTGGCTGCTATGTGTCACGTGCTCCCCTCTGACCCAGATACTCTGACTGCAGGATGCAGGACTGACCCCGCCAGGTCCTGAGCCTGTGGTCACCACTGCAGGGATAACTCCATCCAAGTTTCACAGACAGAGTGGGGGAGGGCAACTCCCTTAAGGAAATTTGAGGTCCTGATACTGCAAGAAGGTAGAGCCAAAGCAGAGGCCAAGCTTAACAGATGTTTGTTAACTGCTTTCTGCCTTTTGTTCTGGCCCATAGAGTCTCTGTAACAATTCAGAAAATACTTCTTTTTCCGATTCTATGTTGCTATTTTGGTCACTTGAGCCAAATTTTCATAAAACCCTTTGCGACAAACCACACTTTCAACCTTTATTTCAGTTTTCCTCTTCCACATAACTCAGAACAGGTCCATGGAACTCATCTGGGGAACTCAAAATATTCCGGCTCTTTCTTTCATTCACCCCATTTGCCCAAGATGTTTTTATGCCAGACATCTTCAGCGTTGGCTTCTATCCCTCTCTTGTATAAGTCAACTCTGACAAAGGCACTGTGGTGCACTTTTCATCAGACATCACCTGTTGTGGTTAAATTGTGTTCTCCAGAAAGATATATTCAGTACCAACCCCTGGGGTGTGTGAACATGCCCTTATTTAGAAATAGGGTTATTGGAGAACTAATCAGGTTGAGATGAGGTCATATTAGATTAGGGTAGGCCTTAATGCACTCAGAAGGGAGTAGCTTGTAAAGATAAAAAGACACTGAAGATGCAAAGAGAAGGCCACATGAAGACAGAGACAGACATTAGAGTCAGGCCTGTACCAGCCAAGGATTGCTGGCAATTACTAGAAGCTAGGAGAGAGGTGCGAAAACAGTCTTTTCCTGGAGCATGGCTTCAGTCCTTCCCTTCAGAGGGAGCATGGCTCAACTGACACCTGGATTTGGGGCTTCTAGTCTCCAGAACTATCAGGCAAATTGATGTTGTTTTATGTTATTCAGTTTATGGTGTTTTATTTTGGTCATCCTAGGCAACTTTCATACTTCCCAACTTTGTGTCAGCATTTAGGCTCAGCAAGGATCCAGCACTTCCTAAAATGCCAAGACCAAAGTGTACAGAAGTAAAGAAATTATCCTAAGTCCTATAGTGACTTAATAATGGCCAAGCCAAGGCTAGCATGCTCAGTCCAGTGTTCCTTCCAACCCTAGTTTCCTTAGTGATTTTTCTCATAAGTCCCAAGAAGTTTGGATCAAGACAGAAGTCCAACACTGAGCTTAGCAGAGAAGCCCTCTGCCCGTGGGTCCCACATTGGCCAGTGGGGACCACTGGCTAGGGGTGTGAATCACTGTGCTGATGAAGGAGATACGGCATGAGGCATGGGATTCAGTTTAGCTTCCGTGTGTCATCTTCAGAGAGAGAGGAAAAGTAGATTGTATGATAAGGGGAGGGTGTTCCAAGAATAGCTTGAGAGCACCAGGTAACTGGGATGTGTGTTTTTTGCCTTCATCAATGTACTTTTCAAAGAAAAGCTCAGCCTTTAGGACTGAAGGTAAGCACAGAGACAGAAAAATTTCTTACCTGAAGGTAGTCGTGTTATCAGCCACCTGCAGAGTATGGAGGCATGTTGGAGCTGATGAGAATTACTGAGGCTAAGGGACCTGCCCTAGGAACTAAATAATCATAGCCAGGAGAGAGTATAAGCTTCGGTGATTGTTATTCGGGTCTCAGAGTGTGCTCTTTCATAAATGTTTCACCAGAGCAGAGATAATTTTGATTTTTAAGATTGTGCTAAAACCTTCCAGGACCACCTGCCTATCATCCCTCCTGGGAAGAAGAGCAAATAGAGTTTTCCCTCCAGGGAAATGATTCTCTGCCTAAAAGGAATCCAAGCATGTTATGATAAGGCTAAGTTATCTTGTTATTTCTACCAAGTCATCGTGAGCATGAGTTCTGGGATCCTCTCAATTTCAGCATGTCCCGTGATCCTGCCACAGTTTCTGCCAGAGTCTCTGATAGGCACACACTAAATGTAGTTGAGAATTCCACAGAGGCTGGAATACAGAGCTAATGCATTAAACATGACACAACTCTAGGATGTAAACTGATCTGCTTAGTTTCATATTTGAATTGCCTACCCCAAAGAAATGCAGTGCACCTATTCACAGCAATCTGGGATAGTCATACTTCCTTAGATATTTTATGCTCCTTTTTTGTGTGGATGGTGGAGAATTTGAGGAGAAAAAACAACCACACCCACCAGTGCAAGACATAAATGTGTAATTTATGTGGTGGTTATGACTTTTTCTTCCCACTTGTCTTTTTTCCAATCACGTGTTATTGCTTTGGTTTGTTTCTGGTGTTCACATTAAAAAAAAAAGTAAAGGATGGGAAAGCAGGAAACGATTTATTATCTAATAGAAGAAATTAGTTATTATAGAGATTATCTTCATGTGACTTATTCTTAGGCAGACATCCTTCAGTCAGGAATCATCTGAGGTTTGTGGCTGTCAGCTGTTCAGAGTACATTAGAAAACCTGCCGTTGTACACAGCCTTCATGCCTTCCATCAGCTCTGTGACAGGCAGACAAGGGGAACATGTTGCTTGGCAGGCCAGTGCTTGTCAAGTGAAGCTAGAATGACTTTCAGAGGAATTTAAATTGGATCAGGTTTATCATTCATTCCTTTATCTTTGATATTCTCCCAGAGAATTATAATTAGAGATATATGGAAGAGAAATAACCTGAAAAACTTGCTGATAGGTGAACTCCATAGGTATAATGCATTTTTAAAAATTATTTTTGATACATAGACATATAGTTATTTGACATCCTTGTCCTTTTACAGACACATTCTAGAAAGGCAACCTTGTGCACAGAAGTTTTTGTAACGAGGAATTTGATGGAAGCTTCTTAATATGGTCTTACAATAGGGAATGCTTATGAGGTAGGACTTCAGAGAATCCTAAAGTATCCCTTACTCCTCACCCCTATTATAACACCTTGCTGTTTTTCAGTTGCTAAGTCATGTCTGATTCTTTGTGACTCTGTGGACTGCAAGACCCCAGGCTCCTCCCAAAATTTGCCCAAATTCATGTCCATTGAATCGGTGATGCCATCCAACCATTTTATCCTCTGTTGCCCCCTTCTCCTTTTGCCTTTTCAGTCTTTCCTAGCATCAGGGTCTTCTCCAATGAGTTAGGTCTTTGCATCAGGTGGCCAAAGTGTTGGAGCTTCAGGATCAGTCTTTCCAATGAATATTCAGGGTTAATTTTCTTTAGGATTGACTGGCACTTAATGGTCTAAAAATCCCCATAGGAAAAGACACTGTGAAACAGAACCTGTGACCATCTTTTTGAATGTAGTCTTTTATGCTCTCAGACAAATCAATTTAGGTAATATGCTAATGTAGGGACATGCTGACATGTTTTAGATCTTATCTAATGATGGAAAAAATATTTCCATTTCCATCTGTGCCTTCTAGAAAGTTCCACCATTATGAGAAGTCTGTGAAATAATTTTGCTTTGTCACAGATTATGTGTAAGATATATATATATATATATATTTTTCTTTTTCCTTTTTTCCGTTTGTGTGTGTTGGAGCTTGTAGGGGGCTATGGCTATTTCTCATTCTGAACATTGAGGGTTCTCATGCTCATGATCTTTGGCTTCTTATTTTC